ATTCACAGTTAACTATTGCCAGGTCATCAACCACACTGTATCAACGAACAGCCCAGTTATTGGCGTGGTATAGTTACTGACGCTGACAGAATTCGGATCGCTGGTGGATGTGGAAAACCCTTTGTGAGTTTCCACAAGCTATGGGTCTCAGTCGGACTTCTTCCCCACTGAGGATGTTACCCGTATGAACTGGATGAAGCAGGCTTTCAACTCCACGTCTAAAGCAGTGCAAGGAATGAATGAATGGCCATCCGTGCTACATCTGACGATAGACAAGGAACAAACATCCGTGGCAAATGGATTTTGCATCAGGGTTTATTCATTCAGTGACTATCTCTGGAAGTTCACCGAGATGAACTGCATTGCTCTGGCGTTATGCAACCTCACTTTGAATGACTACACCATGGAGGTATTACTTTCGCTGCCTTGGTTCTGAAGCTCTGGAATATCGTCACTAAACTTCTGCTTTTCTCTGTTTTGATCTCCTTCATAATGTTCTTTTGAAACTATCGCCTATGACCGTCTCTTCTAATATCACCTTACAATGCCCATTTCAAGCAGTGTTTGATGTTGGCATTTGTAGAAGCTTTGGAACATTTCATGCCAATACACAATTGCTTTATAAATGCAACATATTGTTGCTGTTCAAGTACAGCGTAGAAAATGCTTTTGTTTTTGCAACTGTAGAGAAACTGAGAAATGTCAAAATTCCATTTTCTTGTTTTTGCAAAGACTGTACAGAACTGATCTAGAACAGTTGTATGCACTTATGCTTGACTTTTTAATGAATACATTCGATTTTTGAAGATCAAAAAAACGATATTTAGAACAGAAGTCGATTGACTACCATTCTGGTAAACATTGTTACAGTAAATCTGAACTACCTTGTGAATGAGATGGAGATTTGAAAACAATTGTATTCCTCAGCACATGGATTTTGTCTGGCGGTGGTTTGGGGGACTCACTCGCTGGTGCGTTTCTCCTTGCACAGTTCAGGCCACTTCAACAAGAACTACATTGTTTACATCCCTAGCCCACCTTCAGCCCTCCTTCTGCTTCAATTCATTGAAAACTCCGCCATCCATTTCGTAACCGAATCCATCATCCGTGAGTCGGCCCCTCGCTGAATCCCAGTCGACCAACATTTCAATCTTGAAAGGTCACATCTTTCTACCCAAATCGCCTGCTTGTCCCACTCTTTGTTACCTCCTCCAGCTTTACAATTCCCCTCAGAACTTCTCATTCCTTCATTCTATCCTCTTGACCATCCACGCTCTTTCACACAATCATTAGAAATTATGCTTTAAAGTCCTGAGCTGTGGAATTCTTTCCCAAAACACCGAGACCCTGCACACACTGACCCTTTTTGTGGAATTGTAGTCTCCTGACACTGAATTGCCTTTTTGACTTGGAGTTTTTCTTTGTCTGACTACGCCCTTGTGAATCATATCGCCACATTTTACTTGCTCAAGGCGCGATATTGATTCAAGTTGTTGCTATTGAGGGCTTGCTTTTACGTTTAACAGGAGAACAGCAAAAAAGGGGCGTTGGTCGAATGAATCCTACGCCTCGTCACCTGAACTTTCTCAATATTTAATAATTACTCCTCAATTCAGTTTAGCTTTTATCAATTGGATCAACTGGAATTAGTTCATCCATCACCATTTTGCACGGTGAGTGTTAAAGTATGCGCGCTTTGCAAATAATCGGCCTTGGATGTTATTTCATGCATTTTTTTTATTTTCTAGGATAAATGTTAACAACGAATGAACAGCCCGTGTGATATTTCAGCTCAGTTCGCATGAACCAGTCTGCCCGAAGCCTGAACGGATGTGTTTGAAAGAAAAATGACTAATCATGCTTTTCCGTCTATCAATTTTAAATTTGCTTTCGACTAATTTAAATTTGCATCCTTCTGACTGACTTCAATATGCTAAGTATCACTTTTCCTGCCTGCGTGGAAATGACTTTTTTTTTTGCTCTGCTAAATTACAGAAGCACATTTGATTTGAAAGTTAATTGTTATCTAGTGAGACGGGGTGGGGAAGGAGCTGAGCAGTCTTATTGAGTGTGACAGTGAGTGGGAGCTGAAGACATGTTGCAGAACAATAATGAGTAGGTCCCTGAAGTCCGCCCGCTTCATCATCGCAATTCACTAATCGAATTCAGCTGTCAAGCAGTACCAAGCTCACTGAGTCCACCGAGACAGCTCCTTCCGACGTTGAAGGGGAAATGCTTCAAAACGATAAAACCAGTAAATCTAAAGGTAAATTGGTTTCTGTTTGGAACATTCAGCAGAAAGCGTCATTATAGCTTTGGCGCAAACAATACAGGTTTTGTACTTTTTTAATGTATCTGATAAGCTAATTCATGATTGAAAAAATAACAGTCAGGGCCAACGTACAAACATTTGCAGAGAAAAAAAAATCCACATGCTTCCCAATATTTTACAAAGCTGTTCGAACTGATTGCTTGAGGATCCTTGTGAAAGGATCACGCTCTCTTATAAACCCTCTGGCCAGAATGAGCTTCAAGTACACGATCTCTGGAATAACAAGGTGTAGAGCTGGATGAACACAGCAGGCCAAGCAGTATCAGAGAAGCAGGAAAGCTGACGTTTCGGGTCTGGACCCTTCATCAGAAATTTATTTCAGCAGTTCCTACTATCTCTCACACTATCTCTGGAGTTGCCTCTCTTGGCAACTTGACATACGTCACAAGTTCCATGCCTACAATGCCACTTTAAAACTAGTTTAAATCTTTGAAAGCTTAAAAGCTCCACCAAATGAGATTTAGGAGTGTTAAGAGGCGAGAGAAGCGCCAAACCGCAATGTTTGTTATGGCATTGGTCCTCAGCTGAAAGATGTTGTCCAGTTGTCATCTCTCATAATTGTTTGCTGGCACTCCTACAATCTTTCTGGAAAGCACAAACATGTCAGACTGCCCCATCTTGGAGTTAAATGCTTCATCTATAAAGAACAGCGTGAAGAAGTCTTGCTCTATGTGTTAAACATGCGTCTAACGACAGAACTCGAAAAGGCCTAACAAACCGCTCCGTCTGTTCAGACCTTTCCGTTCAAACTTCAAAGAGGGGGATAATAAACGAACAAGCCGTACTGAGTCAGTCTGGCAGCATTGTCATCTCAACACGAAAATTTTCTATAGATCATAAACCAAACAAAAACAAAATCCTAAAACATCTCGCCTGGTTCGGGGGTGCAGCAAGATTAATGCCTCTACCACAAGGATGGAGCTGGCAAACAGCGCAGGGGTCAAACCAGTAACAAGTGTGTGAACGTTTTCACGCGAAATTGCACCGTCCCTCGTTTTAAGATGATTGATTCAAACAATCGAGCATTCATTTTCTTAAAATTAGAGGCATATTTCACAATTTCTCACTCAGCACCGGCACCCTTCTTGTGAAAATGGCTGATAGCGCTCTCAGCTCTGACCGGTCCCAAGAGTTTAACCGGAATCTGTCAGTTGCAGACTGTGCATCGGCTTTCCTTGCTTTTAGGAGGTGTTCAGTGTTTAGAATTGGTGACAAACTTGCTGGCGAGTCTGTCTGCAAATTTGTGTGTGCGAGAGAGAGAGACCCCTGTTTGCCTGTGAACGGGGAGAAATGGAAGGCTGTTCGTGGGAGACGGCAGGTTGAAACAAAGGGATTGAATCAAGAGCTGTGTCTTGTCTTATCACGAGCTCGGCGCATTGCTGCCCAGCTCTGGGTTAGTGCTAACCGTGCCCGAGTCACGGAGAGAGGAAAACGGACAGCGGTGGCGACTGAGAGCTCTGAGGCACAGTCAGGCTCAGCACCTTATGAGAGACACCGGATTAGGAGCGGGATGAAATTGCATCTCGGCCACCGGGTGCTTCAGTTCACTGACTCCGTGCGGCAAAGGTTGAAGAGGAGACGCCGAAATTGCTAATTCGCCTCCAAGCGGTAACCGATTAGATTCAATAGCAAGGCTGAAGCTCCAGGCGAGGAACTTGCGCCTTTCTGAGACAGGAGGCGTGGTCCGGACACTTCAGCAGAGAATCACACCGTACCGAACAGGCCGTTTGGCCCATCAAGTCTGTACCATCAAAGTCTAAATCTATACGAGCCTCAGTTGAGAATAACCTCTCTGCAGCCGGGGCCGGGTATGTAGAGAGAGAGAGAGATGTAGAAAGCTGGATTGCGAGCCACAGGGATACAGAGAGGCAGAGACAGCGTTAAGAGGTATCAAGAGAGGAAGACAGCGATGCCAGAGGTCGGGAGACGCGTAGAAGTGTTTCAGAGTCATACAGCACGGAAACAGACCCTTCGGTCCAACCAGTCCACGACGACCATAATCTTAAACTGAACTGGTCCCACCTGCCTGCGCTGGACCCCGATCCCTCCAAACATTTCCTACTCATGTACTTATCCAAATGTCTTTGAATCGTTGTAATTGTACCCGCATCTATCACTTCCTCTGGTAGTTCATTCCAAGCACGAACCACGCTCTGTTTAAAAGAAGGCTGCCCCTCATTTCTTTTTTCAATCTTTCTCCTCTCACCTTAAAAATATGCCCCCTAGTCTTGAAATCCTCACCGCAGGGAAAATACACCTACTATTCACCTGTCTAGTCAATATTGTGTGGAGCTAGAGGAACACAGTAGGTCAAGCAGCATCAGAGGAGCAGGAAAGTCGACGTTTCGGGTTTACACGCTTCATCAGGACTGGGCAAGTACTGTCCTCAGTGCTGATGAAGGGTATATTAGGAACGTCGACTTTCCTGCTCCTTTGATGCTGCCTTACCTGTTGTATTCCTCCAGCTCCACATTGTATTGGCTCTGACTCCAATATCTGCGATTCTTACTATCTCCATTCCCCTATCTATACCGCTCATGGTTTTATAAACCTCTGTAAGGTCACCCCTCAACCTCTTACGCTCCAGTGAGAAAAGTCCCAGCCTCTCCTGAGAACATGGTGGCACTATTCCAACGTGAGCCTTGGGTTAAGACGGTGAAAAGCTCACCTGTCCAGGGCGATAGCAGTCATTGAGTAGATGCTGGCGAACATGGCAGTAATGGGGAAAAAGTTGTGGAAACGACAGTAGCCGAGGCCGAAGTACCACTCGTTGTGGATGCCGTAGACAAAGTTGATGACCGCATTGAAAGCAGCCACGGAGCACTCGGTGAAAGCCAGGTTGACCAAGAAATAGTTGGTCACTGTCCGCATCCTTTTGTGGGCCAGAATAATCCACATGACCACCAGGTTCCCGCACACTCCCACCGCCACGATAATGGAGTAGGCGAGCGCCCACAGGGCAATCTGCCACTTGGGCTGCAGGAATTTAGTGTCCAGTTCCTCGGTCTGATTCCCTGGCTCAGAGTCATTCCCTTGCCACGCGTTCAGCTCCATGGTGAGAGAGCACTGCAAGTCACCGTCTCTTCCGTCAGATCTTGCTCACTCCAGAAGCTCGCAGCATGTCACAGAGAGACGCTCAGACAGGCAGACACAATGTGGCCCATCTCTTCCCCCACGTTTCCTGGCCGCTTTTAGTCGTCAGCTTGCCGTTGAGGTCCCTGAATGAAACTCTGCAGAGTCATTCTTTTCTCTGAGTCGCAACTCTGCTGATTGTCAGTGTATGTGTGTGTGTGAGAGAGAGGGCGTTATACCTAGGGCTCCAGCACACACGTGTTGACTCTACCAACCTGACAGACAAACACAGGGAAATAACAGGAGGCTGGTCTCTTTAAAACACATTTGCACAGGAAACGTCAGTGCCTCTGGGAGGGCAGGAGCGAGAGGAAGACCACCCTTCATCCCTTGCCGGCTTGCATCTGCCCCACAATTGGCTTGCTAGCCCCAAATTCTCCAGAAAGGGAGGCAAGAGAGAAACCTTTTTGGTGACTGCCTTAACCCTGTAATTCAGCGAAATGTTTGTCCTTTTGAAGTATAGTCTATGATTAAACAACAAGTGACAGATTTGCATGCGCATTTTAGCTGTATCGCCACCTTCGGTCCGAATTATTTACTAATCTCATTCCCAAGAGTGTCCAGTTAAAATGCGTTTAGCACTCCGCAGCTGGCCAGCTCCTGGTTGCTTTGTTTCAGTTCTCACTGTGAAGTGTTCATATTGCAGCTTTCACTTGCCTCTCAGGGACACAGCTTTAGCATTCAATCCGTTCAATCTCCTCCTGTCTCCGCATTGGGCTTTAAAGAATCCGGAACAATTCTGCCTGGAGGCGCATTCCTGCAATTAACCAGAAGAGCAGCAAATGGCTCTGGGAGTCGAAACGTGTGCACGAGGCATTGAGAGACGGACGGAGAATTAGTCATTTAGATGGCGAATTGTTGAACAAACAATCTATATTCATTTATTTAGCTCTCAAAGTGAAGGATGAACAGATCCAGTGTAACGAACGGAATTATTTCACAACTAAATTCCGCCCAATAATTGCCAATATTAAACATTGTGTAGAAAACCAATCAGCCGCTCTGAGGGTTCTGAAGAATCTAGTCCCCTCCTCCTATCCTATCCCATTCCAGTGTCCCGATAATAATCTGGCAAAAAATGTCTACCCTTCACTCAGTGAAAAGATAGCCTGTAATCTGATTCAGGCATAGCATCTCCTTCCAACTCTTCTAATCGTTTTCTTTGGTTCTTTGGGTAAAGATCTAAAATTCATACACTGTGCTCATTGTTCAATTATTATGATCCAATTTTCAGAACTTTTCACTCAAAGGAATGTGGAATTGTTAACTAGGCCAGCACTTACTGCCCATCTCTGATTGCCCTGAAGAAGGTGGTGGTGCCTACATGAACCAAAGCAGGCAATGCACTGTAGGTAAGTCTACAGTGCTCTGAGGGAGGCAATTCTAGGACTTTGATCCAGCAACACTAAAGGAATGTCAATATATTTCCAAGTGAGAATGGTGAGTGGCTTGGAAGGGATGTTGCATGTGAAGGTATTCCCACATATCTGCTGCACTTTGTCCTTCTCAGTGGTTGAGGTTATGAGTTTGGAAGGTGCTGTTGGAGAATCTTTGGTGCACTGTAGTCTATCTTAAAGATGGTATACATTGCTGTACTGAGCATCAGTGGTGGAGGAAATGAATGTTGAAGGTGACAGGTTGAGTCCTGATCAAGAGGGCTGCTTTGTCCTGGATGAATTCAAGCACCTTGAGTGTTGTTGGAGTTGCACCCATCTAGCCAAGTGGAGAGTGTTTTGACACACTTCTTATTTGTGTTTGATAAATGATGGAGATGGGTATTAAGGAGACAGGAGGTGAATTAATCATTGCAGGATTCCTAACCTCTGATCTGCACATTGTAGCTACTATACATATATGTCTTGTCAAATTCAGTTACTAGCCAGTGGTAACCCCCAGAATGTTGATAGTGGGGATTTAGTAAAGGTAATGCCATTGAACAGCAAGGGGCATTAGTTATATTCTCTTTTGTTGGAGATTGATATTGCCTGGCACTTGACTAATGCAAATGTTATTTGTCACTTATCAGTCCAGGTCTTGCTGCATATAGCTGCTTCAGTATCTGAGGAGTTACAAATGGTGCTGAGCATTGTGCAATCATGAGCGGACATCCCCACTTCTGATCATATGAAGGAGAGAAGGTCATTGATGAAGCAACTGAAGACGCTTGAGCCGAGGTCATTACCCTGAGGAACTCTGGTAGAGATGTTCCTGTGCTGGGAAGATTGACTTGCAACAACCACAGCCATCATCCATTGTGTAATGTATGACTCCAACCCGCAGAGTGGACTCCCCTATTGGCTTCAATTTTGCGCAGGCTCCTTGATGCCATACTTGGTCAAATGCAGCTTGATGTCAAGGACATTAACTCTCACCTCACCTTTGTAGTTCAGTTCTTATTGTCAAGTTTAGACCTAAACCATAATGGCTTTAAGACAATGTTTATGCACCATATAAATTTCCTCCAAACTTCCCTCCACTGATCAGAACCTGAACTCAGCCAACCCCATCAATATTGTGGTTCTAAGTTACCCTGAAGAGAAGAGACCATCACACTTGAATGGAGTGCGATGATTCCAATGGTTAAATCCCAATGAAAATCTTTTTGTGATGACTGGCTATCCAGGCAAGATTAACAACCAATTACTCATCCATCATTTGGGTCATCCCCAGGTATGCTACAAATATACACCGGCCATGTTTCTTGGTAATTGTCAAATTGTCAATCAGTTTAAAAAGAACCTCTCGGTCGTTAGACCCTTACATGACCTCAGGATGTTGCAAACCACCATGCAGTCAACTAATTATTTTTATTGAAGTGTCGTTGATGTTATAGTGTAGGAAACATGGCAGCCATTTTTTGCTCAGCATGCTCCCACATTCAGCAATGTGATAATGACTATGTAATCTGTTATTAGGTGAAAATTGAGGAATAAATATGGGGATGAACACCCCTCCACTTCCTTGAAATAGCATCATGGAATCTTTTGTGTTCACACTCGAGCAGATATGGTCTGATACCAAAGGCAGTACCACTGACTCCAATGTTTTCAGATATTTCACATAATTTGTTAATTTCAGCATTGAAAGTCCAAAAGAAATTATGCCTCATAAAAGTTGTGGTTTTTCAGTCATCTATTTCAGAACCCCAGCTAGTGACACTGTTTGACTGGGCACATGTCTCTTGTTCTCTTCTGTTAATTGAAGTTCTCCTTCCGTCTTCCTTTCTTGTGCACCAAATTAGCACTGCTGACTAATTCTTGCTAGCCACAGCCCATGTGTATGATGACAGACATTCTGAACGCTAATTTGCTTGCCACGATCTGTACATGTGTTTCAGATTGGCTAGGTAATGTATACCCAATTTCTGATTGATTTCTTATAGAAGTGTTAGTCATTCTGACTTCCTACTACCTCCTATTTCATTTTTTGCAGCATGCTTGTCTACATCAACCTTTTACATCTTACTGATAATGTGACACCAATTTAGTCATTTATGTGCCCAATTAGATGTACCTAACATCATCCCCAAGTAATTAAATAATATCCCAAATGTCACACATTAGTTCCATCTAAGTATTCTCCAAAATTTCAAAGCCCAACAATACCTTTAATTCAGAGAACCATGTGTATCTCCATAATAACTGTTGATACCTTAAACAAATTAAAGCTCAAAACAACCTTTAAAAAATCAAATATATATAAGGCTTGTTATATATTTTAAGTTATGAAACAAACCCATTTGAGACATGGCTATGTCTTTGAGTAAAAGCTTATAATTTAAAGGATTTTCACTTTAGTTAGTCTAAGTTTGAATTAGCGTGAGCCATTAAAACAAAAACACATTATTTTGTTTTTGGCCTGTGCTATTTGACTTTTTTCCTTACCAAGAGTATTTTATAGTTAACTGTGAGAAGACAGTGACCAGCAATGTGCTGCAAGGATCGATGCTGGGTCCACTGTTTTTTTTTCATTTATATAAATGATTTGGATGTGATTATAGGAGGTGTGGTTAGTGAGTTTGCAGATGACACCAAAATTGGTGGTGTAGTGGACAGTGACGAAGACCATTTCTGAGTACAACGGAACTTTGATCAGATGGGCCAATGGACCGAGGAGTGGCAGATAGTGTTCATTTTAGATAAATGTGAAGTGTTGCATTTTGATAAGGCAAACCAGGGCAGAATTTATACAGTTAATGGTAGGCTCCTGGGGAATGTTGCAGAAAAAAGAGATGTGGGGTGCAGGCGCATAGTTCCTTGAAAGTGGATTCACAAGTAGAAAGGGTGGTGAAAAAGTTATTTGGCACATTTGCCTTCATTGGTAAGTGCATTGAGTATAGGAGCTGGAAAATCATGGTGTGGCTGTAGATGACATTAGTGAGGCCACTTTTAGAATACTGTGTATAATATTAAACTTGAGTTGGTACATAAAAGATTTCCAAGGATGTTGCTGAGACTGGATGGTTTGAATTATAGGGAGATGCTGAATAGGCTGGGGCTTTTTTTCCCTACAGTGTCGGGGCTTAAGGGATGACCATATAGAGGTTTATAAAATCATAAGGGGCATGGATAGGTTGAATAGCCAAGGTCTTTTTCCTCAGGTGGGGAGTCCAGAACAAGATGGCAGGTTTAAGGTGAGAGGGGAAAGATTTAAAAGGGACCTAAAGGTGGTGCATGTATGGAATGAACTGCCAGAGGAAGTGATGGAGGCTGGTACAATTATAACATTTAGAAGGCATCTGGATTGGTATATGAATAGGAAGGGTTTACTGAGATGTGGGCCAAATGTTGGCAAATGGGACTAGGTCAGATTGGCATGTCTCATTGGTGTGGAAATGCTGGAAAAAAGAGTCTGTTTCTATGCTGTATAGTCTATGACAATGACTGTCTGAGGATTTCTCTCTGCTATCCCATGGGATCCAG